AGGTCAAACGGGTGTGAAAAAGAGTTATTAATATTGTTTAACTGGGTAATATTAATAACTAGTCACACTTAAGTACTTAATACATGAAAGTAATCGAGTCGACCTTTAAGCTATATATACTTCGTACTTATCTTCTTCAGCCTCAAGCACATCGGTGTACGGAGTACTCCGTAAAGGGGATTTCCCCCTGGGTGGGGTTGCCTGTTATAGTAGTTTGGGGAGGGGCGGGGGGGCGAAGTAGATTTCAGGAGTACGAAACGGTATTGTTCAGGTATTTGACTTGATTCAAGTAATTTTCGGTACCACTCCATACAACCCATCCACTTGTTTTTTTTACTGTAATGTAATTACCATCCCAGATCTTTTCTCCATCTGCTACGAACGCCTCCGTTTTGTTTGTACCTTTCCCTTTGGCTTCCTTTACGAGACTATACAGACTGCTCCGTAAAACAGCTGTACCTTTCTTACTGGATAATATCTCCAGGATGGATTTCCACCATCCCTACACGCCATACGAGATTCAGCTACAGTTTATGCAGGCCTTGTACGCCTGCCTGGAAGATGGCAAGATCGCGGTATTTGAATCCCCAACTGGTAAGCTGTTCATTTTCCATTAGGGTGGTTCATTTAATCCGACATGATGTATAGGGACTGGAAAATCTTTAAGCTTAATTTGTGGTTCTTTAACCTGGCTTCGAGATCACAAGCGAAAGGCCTTCCAAGAAACCGTTGATGCCACAGGTGGGTCCCGATGTGAAACATTTGACTGCTTGATTGCAGCTGTCTGACATTCCAGGCGATGACAATGAACCTGACTGGATGATTGAACATGCCAAACGGGAATCCAGACGTGCTATCACTGAAAAGAGACAAGAATTCGAGGCCCGATTAGTCAAAATTCGGCAGGAGGAAGAACGTTTGAAACAGGCCCAGGACAGCGCAGACCGACCCCGTAAAAAGCAGGTATGTATCTGGATTCCTCGATTGATGCCAGGCAACTATCCCAACTAAAGGGGGGAAAAACAGCGACATGACGACTCAGCACCCGAAACTGTTAATGACGACGATCAATTTGCTCTCGATGACTATGAAAGCGACACAGACAATCAGAAAGGGCAGAATGACTCTGGGAATGCTGGCGGACTGTCTGCAAGTACTTTGGCCTTGCTAGAACGGTTTCAAGGGAAATTCTCAACGCAAAAGAAAGATCAGGAGGATAACGACGATGATGAGGTCAAGATCTTTTTTTGCTCAAGGACACATTCACAGCTTAGCCAGTTTGCCGGTGAATTACGACGAGTCACCCTTCCATCTAGTTTACCTAGCGATCTCGATCCAGAGAGCAAAGATGACCTCTCCAAACTGGAAGAGCGTGTGAAACACCTCTCACTAGGGTCTAGAAAGAACCTGTGCATCAACCCCAAAGTCCGAGCCTTGGCGAACAACACTGAAATTAACGAAAAGTGCTTGGATTTACAGCAAGCGGGTTTAGCAGCCGACAAGAAGTGCTCCTTTATTCCCTCCAAAGATAACGAGGCCCTGGCTCTTGAGTTCAGAGACCATGCTTTGGCGACAGTCAAAGACATCGAAGACATTGCCCAGGTTGGGAAGAAACTTGGAATATGTCCCTACTATGCATCTCGTCCGGTCATCAAGCACAGTGAGGTCAGTGTCACCCGGGAACAACTACAACGTCGGCTCAAATCCAAGACTAGATTGTCACACTTCCGTATCAATTGTTGCTGCAAAGATCCGCTCGTGAGGCCCTCAATATCTCGGTCAAAGGTCATATTGTCATCATCGATGAAGCCCACAATCTCATGGATGCAATAACTGGCATTCATTCGGTGACTGTCTCGCTAAATCAACTGCGGACTGCTATCGGGCAGCTGACAACATATGCCCGCAAGTTCAAGAACAAATTAAAAGGAAAGAATCGAAACTATGTTGCGCAAGTCATCCGGTTAGTGAGCTCCATTGCAGAGCATATGGAGTCAATCTCTCAGCAAAATGGACCACTGGAAGGCTCGGTGCAAACGTCAGATCTCATGACTGGAAAGGGAGTTGACCAGATCAACCCTTATAAACTCTCTAGATATCTGCAAGAGAGCAAGCTCGCCCGGAAAGTTGACGGCTATCTTGAGTCCTCGCAACAGCCACAACCTGATCGGCCCAAGGATAAGACAACAGTTCCGGTTCTGTTTCATATTCAAAGCTTTCTTCTTCCTCTCATGAACCCTTCGGAAGAGGGACGGCTCTTCTTTCAGAAAAGTCAAGAAGATGTTTTGTTGAAATACATGCTTCTTGACCCTACGAACCACTTTCGGGAAATTGCCGAGGACGCTAGGGCTGTCATTCTAGCTGGCGGTACTATGTCCCCTGTAAGTTTGACTTTAACATTCTGATACTGCAACCCTCTAATGTTCTCGACAGATGTCAGATTATGTGAATTATTTGTTTTCGTATCTACCCCCAGAACGACTAGGGACATTTAGTTATGGCCACGTCATTCCAAAATCCAACTTGGTGGCACAGTCCTTGACTCAAGGACTGATGGGAAACGAGTTTGATTTTACCTATGAGGCACGAAATTCTGAACGAATGGTATGTACCAAATTTCAAATCTCGGAAGTTTTGTTCTTTACATTTCAACTAGATCACCGACCTTGGGCGTACGATGGCAACCCTCTGTCAAGTCATTCCAGACGGTGTTGTTGCGTTCTTCCCCAGTTATGACTATCTCAGTCATGTTCTGGGGGTCTGGAAGAAGCCCATTCCCAACGGGAATGGCCAAAGCACTCTCAATCTACTGGAACGGAAGAAGAAGATTATCTACGAATCTCGCGAAGCAATGACAACTACAGACGATTTGCTGCGAGAGTATACCGAGGCCGTTCAGTCAGGATCAGGAGCCTTGCTTCTGTCTATCGTGGGCGGCAAGTTGTCAGAAGGCATTAATTTTTCTGACAATCTAGGGCGGGGCGTCTTTATCATCGGCCTGCCATTCCCCAATATCCGAAGCCCTGTATGGCAGGCCAAAATCCAGTACCTTGAGGAGAAGACCTACAAACAGGCATCTGGTTCCGAGCCGGAAAGAAAAGCAGTGGGCAAGGCAGCAGGCAGGGACTTTTACGAAAATTCATGCATGCGAGCAGTGAATCAGTGCATCGGTCGAGCCATCAGGCACATAAACGATTACGCGGCGATCATAATGATCGACCGCCGGTATGAGTCGCCGCGGATCCAACAAAAACTGCCTGGTTGGATTAGAGGGAGCTTGGTCCCAGCGCCTCCCACGCGGGCGGCTCAAAAGACCGTGCAAAGAATTTCAAAGTTCTTTGCCGAAAAAAAGGCAATGGCAGGCTAGGTATTGATATAGGAAATGTTTTTTATGATATAGCATCAACTTTACACATTAAATACGTGCTCCTTGAAGGCTTTGGCCTGCGTGTGTTGTAGATGAACCGAAGCCCTACGTCAACATTGGCAGAATGGAAGGGGCGGTGTGTGTCATGCATGACCTAAGTTCTGACAAAGCCAGGGCTAGGGTTTCACGATCACGGGACAAGCGAATTTGTTAGCGCACACTCTAAGCCTGGATTTCAACATCCTGTAGACGGAACGATCCCTTCAACGCCAAACATCAACGGTCTTGTCGAAACACCCCCGCCGACAAGATGCCTACCCGTTTCTCGAACACCCGGAAGCAGTGAGTCGACACCCTTTCCTGTGCCGTCTGAATCGAATTCTCTCTCGTTGATCGCGACCTGAAGAGTCAAATTCGTGATAAGCCTTGTCGCAATATCGCACCAACAAATCACTAACCTCTCATTCTCTCACAGCCGCGGCCATGTGTCTGCCGGTTACGGTCGTGTCGGCAAGCACCGCAAGTCCCCCGGTGGTCGCGGTATGGCCGGTGGTCAACACCACCACCGTACCAACCTCGACAAGTTCCACCCTGGTTACTTCGGTAAGGTTGGTATGCGTTACTTCCACAAGACCAACCAGCAGTTCTGGAAGCCCACTATCAACGTCGATAAGGTACGTTGCATCTACATTTTGCGAGTCGATTCGATATGAATGAGAAGAAGTTGTGGATTGGTCTGGAGGCGGAGGGGCGCAAATATCGACAAGATGCAAAAGAGGAGGGAGGCCAATCGACAAGAACTTGAGGAAATAACGGAATTCCATTGAGAAGGAGACTTATGGCTGACTACGACTTTTCTTTGCAGCTCTGGTCTCTTGTCCCCGCTGAGCAGCGCGACGCCTACTTGAGCGGCCAGAAGACCGATGTCGCCCCCGTCATCGACCTCCTGCCTCTCGGCTACTCTAAGGTTCTTGGAAAGGGCCGTCTCCCCCAGATCCCCGTCGTCGTCCGTGCCCGTTACGTCAGCCGTGACGCCGAGGAGAAGATTAAGGCCGCCGGTGGTGTTGTTGAGCTCGTCGCATAAGCGTTGATTCGTCGAGAAATTTCTGGAGAAGGCGGGTGAATAGGGGCAATCTGAAGCCCTGGCTGTGTTCGTTCGCCAGCATGGAGGACGATCGGAACTCAAAATGAGATCTGCCGGAACTGAAAGTAAGTCGGTTCGTGCGGTCGAAAAAAAAGGGGTTTTTTTTTGTATGCAACCAGCACAGCATATGGCCTCCGAATGCCCTTACGATTTCATCAGTATGTTAAACAAATACCATGAGGAGGATTTTTTCAACTGTTGTTCATCCGTGCCCATTGTCATGACTCCTGGGGGGTGGGCGAATTTTTGGTTGTGAAAGATTGAGCCACGCTTATGTAGGATAGCCGTGGCCGCTTTGGTCGGGGCATGAAAGGCTTCCTAAGGTTACTGCACAGGTTCGCCATTAAAAGTCACCGTCATCTTCGTAGATTTGAGGTCTACCAATCCGTCCGATCGCGATTGAGGAACTACGCACGTGAAAGAGATCGTGTCATGTCACATCTTTTCATTCTATGTTGTAGACATCGACAAATTTACCATACCTAGTGCTTAGATCTTCGACTCTCGCACGGAACCCTGTTGACCCGCCTTGTCGGGACCCGCGGCCAATGTCTCACTAATAAACCGAAAAGCCTCCTCGGCCATCTTAGGAGTAAACTCATGGCCCGCCGCCTGGTCAATGATATCTTCAAAGGACACCCCACCATCACCGAACCACCCATCGGACGAGATGGTCTGCTTGAACCAGTCGAGGAATAGCTCTCCACGGTGATAGGGAACAAGCTTGTCCTTGCCGCCGGAGAGATTCAAAATGCGCTTGCCAGCTAAGGCACGAGTCAGAAGTGGCCGGAGCACCTGCTGTTCGCTTTCTGAAGGCTGAGGCAACGGGCCTTCGCGCAAAGGACCAGTTGATGGCCCACAATCCACATGCTTCAGCATCATACCGGCCGGATCATATCGGTTGACGGTCTCTAGGAAAGAGGTCGGCAAGGCTTCTGAGCCAAGGACCTCAGCACCAGGCGGGGCACTCTTTGTCCACGATGGTAGCTTTGACAGCCTTGCGCGGTCTGCCATCAGATTAATATAGTCTGGACAGCCGATGATGATGACCCCGGCGCTGACTCGAGGCTCGTGTAGTAGACAGCTCCATGCTGCGTGTCCGCCTAGTGAAACTCCCAGAACCAAGTTCTCGGTGATCTTATGCTCACCACTGGGGAATGTGTAGGAGGGAAGGTAGTCCATGAGCACCGATGTATCTCTTGCCGTGCCCTCTAGTTCTAGTTAGAAGATTATCACTGATTTCACGAGTTCTTTCACACACGGAAGATGGAGAACATATCCTGGGCATGTCGGGGGTTCCCTTCTTTCCAAGACTCATTGGCAAGAGGGTCGATCATCCGAGTACCATGGTTTCGCTGGTCGAACGAAACGGCAATCAGGCCCTTGGCTGAAGGTGTGTCCTGGCTTCTAGTGTTCCAGTCAGTGATGGCGGAGTTGGCAAAGCTCATCATACGCTCCTGTGTGGCTAATCGTGGGTGAAGAAGCCAGAGACATGCGACCTCCGAGGCCTCTTTGCAGAGCTCTTCCAGTCCAAAGACCGTTGCTGAGATGCCGGCAATTGTGTAGACCTTCTGGGAGATGGCGACTGGCATAGACCTGTCTGGACCGATCAAGGACTTTAATGGATCTGTCATGATGTTTCAGCGGATATGAAGAATACAAGATTAAAAGTGAAAAATGTTGAAGAGGGAGTTGCATAGCGGGGGAGATTTAAAAGATGGGTGTTGGAAGGCAACTCGGGGAATTACCACAGCCGAGGCCTTTTTCCCTTTAGATCCTAGGATTTATGTATTCTCTACGGCGTACATTTGTTCTTCTCTGTTAATGAATTTATCCTGGAAATCTAGTTTGTTACTCCAAGGTCCTCAATTGAGGCCATCCATAGTGATTTTGATACATCTCAAAGAAAACTCTTCAGATAGACTTAATTCTCTACAAAAAAATACTTCCCATTCAATATATCATATTCCATACTAGATACTCAGGTATATAGATCTCTAAATATCTCGATACATAGTCTGTGCGAAGAAGAACGTACTCCACTATTAGCATGTCCATGTTGCAAACGTGCCCAACCCCTTTTTCCCCTGACCGCCCGCATCTTCTCCAGTCGGAGAACAGCTGGGAACTCCACTGTAAACCAATTTACTTAACTATGCTCCTTTAAATGTCAACACACGTTCTTTAACTCGGATTTTCTTATACTTTGTTCCTAAGATGATCCGTACATGGTCCGTTTCGACAGTGTATTGAGTATGTATGAAGTAAATGTGGTTAATCTCCCCCCTCCGTGAACTGCAACTGATGATCACCGTGCATTAGCCCCAGAATTCAAACATGTCGGCCTCTTCAATTCACAAGGATGTGGAAACTGGATCGCTAAAGGTTGATACGAAGAAGCAAGAGCCCCATTTGGCTTCAAACAAATCAAAATTGGCATCCCCGTTACCTTCTCCCACTGAATCCAAGAAACCCTCCTCGATCAAACAGACTCAGCCCATTCAGTCTACGGGCGATCATGAAACAGGTGGAATACTAGGAGACAAGGAAAATGCGCGTCCATCATCCTTGAAGCATGGCTCACCGAGGGGCAGGTCATCCTTGAGCACTCGACCGCCAAACCGGTCAGCCGAGGACCACCAACCATGGACTCGCCATCAACGCCAGTTGTCTAACCCTGCAATATCCCCTCCATCTCGTGCTCAAAGTGTACAATTCAGAGACACAGATACCGAGGCTCCCGACGCGTCCCACTCCCGGCCGCAATCTCGAGCCGCCTCCGAACACGGCGACGATGATGATCAGGGTCCCAAAGGAAGGCAATCGTTATTCGGCAAACTGAAGCTACTCGCCACTGCACCAAATTTTGCGTCACATTCACGATCTCCCAGTGGTGCGAGTACGGACTTCCGCTCAGCTCCGGGCGACATAGCTACCCCGGGGTCGGAACGGGGGGAATTCCGCTTCCCAGAGCCCCTAGAAGAAGAGGGTAGCGAGATCGATGCCGACGCGGAAGAGAGCGGCGGTGAGCAACGTGATCCTCGGGAAAAGAGAAAAACGCAACGGCGGAAGAAGCATTTGAAGGAAGAAGCTGGCTCTAACACCGCCCCCACAACGCCTAAAACAACGCGCAGACCCTCGTTCCACTTCTCGTCCTCATTTGCTCCTTTCGAGAACTATCGCACTAATCTGTTCCCCCGAAGAGCAAGCACTACGGACTTCACACCTCAGCAACGCGAAGGTGTTTCGGAAGATGAAGGTCGTGAGAGGCTCAGCCGGCGGATGAGGAGCCGCCCATGGGCAAATACTAGGGTTGCCAGCTATACTGACCGCCCAGATGCTAATCCGGACGAACAGCGCCCGAGAAACCTGAGGCGATTGACCGGATTTGCCGGGCCATCTGGAAACGATGAGAGCCTAACGGCGAGCTGGAGACGCCATCGAACCGAGCGTGGCACCAGTGCCAGTGCTCAGCGATGGAAGCAAATTAAAGCTGGTCTGAAACTCATTGGGCAGCGACGAAGGCCAGATAATGCAGTGGACAATAAAAAATCAGCAGAGTTGCTTGCTGAACTCGCTTCAGCCGTGCCTGCTGCGCTTATACTGGCCAGCGCGTTCCAACGAGACGAGCACGGCAGTAGAAGAATCCCGATTCTTTTGGAGCAATTGAAAGTTCGTGTTACGGATAGCCGGATTGATTCCCACTCCGGCGATCGTCATCTAGTCTTCCGAATCGATATGGAGTACGGAAGTGGCATGACTCGCATGAAATGGATCATCTTCCGCACTTTAAGGGACTTTGCCAATCTGCATCTCAAGTATAAGCTTCACCTGGGAACTCAGAAGTACATTCAGCTACGCACGAGCGAGAACAGCCCAAGTCTCCCTCGATTCCCTAGAAGTGCCTTCCCCTATATGCGAGGTGTGCGAGGCCTTGAAAGTGAATTCGAAGATGAAGATGAAGAAGGTGGGTATGAGACCGGCGCAGAGGGGATGAGTGGAACAGAGAGGCCTCCGACGAAGAAAAAGCAGAACCAACTACCACACCAGCCTCGTGTCTCTGGTCCACTTGCTCGCAGAAAATCTAGCATCACCGATCAAGAAGGAGACTCAGCCGCAGGACCTTCATCCACCCACGAAGGTGTGTCGGGAGCCAGGAAAGAAACATATCCTGGGAAACAGCGAAAGAAGCTTGAGGTCTATCTGCAAAAGATGATCAGATTCCTGATCTTTAGGGCTGACAGCAATCGCCTGTGCAAATTCTTGGAACTGTCAGCGCTCGGTGTCCGTCTGGCCGCCGAAGGCAGTTACCATGGCAAAGAAGGATTCCTGATTATCCAGTCCTCCAAGGGTCTTGATTTCCGAAAGGCGCTCAACCCCTCTCTGGTCAAGAAGCGCCATTCGCCCAAGTGGTTTCTGGTTAGACACAGCTATGTAGTCTGCGTGGATTCCCCCGAGGAGATGAACATTTACGATGTCTTCTTGGTGGATGCCCATTTCAAGATTCAGACACCGAAACTGAGTCTTCGCAAGCAAAATCCAAAAGATCTTGCCCAGTCTGCAAAGCAGTCTGCGAGACACCCTCAGCACCACACTCTCCGGCTTGAGAACTCTGAACGCAAGCTCAAACTGCTGGCCCGGAATGAGCGTCAACTCCAACAGTTTGAAGACTCGATTCGGTTCATGGTTGCCAATACTCCATGGTTGCACCCCAACCGGTTCGATAGTTTCGCGCCTGTGAGACTAAACTGCTTTGCGCAGTGGCTGGTCGACGCGCGAGATTACATGTGGGTTGTCTCACGAGCAATCAACCAGGCAAAGGATGTTATTTATATTCATGACTGGTGGCTGAGTCCAGAGCTTTACATGCGTCGGCCTGCTGCCATCAGCCAGAAATGGCGATTGGACCGTCTCCTACAACAGAAAGCTCGGGAAGGCGTCAAAGTCTTCGTGATCATGTATCGCAACATCAACTCCGCCATTCCCATCGACTCGGAGTATTCCAAGTTCTCTCTCCTTGATCTTCACCCCAATATCTTTGTTCAACGATCACCAAATCAGTTCCGGCAAAATACTTTCTTCTGGGCTCACCACGAGAAGCTTTGTCTTATTGATCACACCATCGCATTTGTTGGGGGGATTGATCTGTGCTTCGGGCGTTGGGATACTCCTCAGCATCCACTGACCGATGATAAGCCCACTGGCTTTGAAACTACTGATGGCCCCAAGGATGCAGATCATTGTCAACTCTGGCCGGGCAAGGACTACTCCAATCCTAGAATTCAAGATTTCTATGACCTGGATAAGCCGTATGAGGAGATGTATGATCGCAATGTCGTGCCACGGATGCCGTGGCACGACATTTCTATGCATGTCGTGGGCCAGCCGGCTCGGGATCTTACTCGTCATTTCGTGCAGCGCTGGAACTACATTCTCCGTCAGCGAAAGCCCACGCGGCCAACGCCCTTCCTCTTGCCGCCACCTGATTTCAATCCCGCTGATTTGGAAGCTTTGGGTCTTGATGGAACTTGTGAGGTACAAATTCTCCGTTCTAGCAGCATGTGGTCAACTGGAACACCTGATGTTGTCGAGCACAGCATCATGAATGCCTATGTGAAATTGATTGAGGAATCCGACCATTTCGTCTATATCGAGAATCAGTTCTTCATCAGCACTTGCGAGATTGACGGCCGGAAGATCGAGAACCTCATTGGAGACGCCCTCGTTGAACGTATTGTCCGAGCTGCCAAAAATGAAGAAGCATGGCGTGCTGTCGTTGTGATCCCATTGATGCCAGGCTTCCAGAACACCGTGGACAGCGAAGGTGGCACCAGTGTTCGACTTATCATGCAGTGCCAATACCGCAGTATTTGCCGCGGAGAGACATCCATTTTCGGCCGTCTTCGTGCCCTTGGAATCGAGCCAGAGGATTATATCCAGTTCTACAGTTTGCGAACTTGGGGCAAGATTGGACCGCAAAAGGCATTGGTAACTGAACAACTTTACATCCACGCCAAATGCATGGTTGTTGACGATCGCGCTGCTATCATTGGATCAGCAAACATCAACGAACGATCAATGTTGGGTTCGCGTGATTCAGAGGTTGCATCTATCGTGCGAGACACTGATATGATTATGTCGAGCATGAATGGCAAGCCATACCTTGTTGGCCGATTCCCGCATACCTTGCGAATGCGTCTGATGAGAGAACATCTCGGGATTGATGTCGATGAACTCATGGAACATGACTTTGCCACCGAAGAAGAGCTACGCAAGATCCAGGTCGCTGAGGGAAGTGAGCACCCCGTTGAAAACTCAGAGCGAAGGAATTCTGCGTCCTCGGCCATCGAACGACAAGAGGAGAGGGAGATGGTTGAACGTCGGCACCGGGTCCAGGATGAGTTCCTTTCTCGCTCTGAGGAAATGTACAGCTTCAACCATGATGTCGATTGGGAGCAGGGTGGTAACCCTAACCTCAAATCGAATCGCAAACTTACTGCCGACCCTCGCGTCACTGAAAATCCCGATCACAGGAAAGACGTGGAAGGTGATGGCGCCGATAATCTGGCAGTCGCTGCTCAGGCCGGATTAGTAGTTGGTCGCGATTCGGAGATAGAGCCCAATGGAAGAGAGGCCCTGGTTTCACCCATTGCTCCGGAGGGGAAGGGTACTATCGAGCGACCGAAATCATCGCAGCAAAAGCCCCCTCAAACACCCTCGACCCGCAAGGATCGCAGACCTGGGTCACCGAGTGAGACCAATCCTAAATCCGAGATTCTTGCACATACACCATCACAAAGCTCACAAGGCCATGGAGTAAACGGATCGTCGAGCCGCGAGTCTGAGACTGGCGGTACCGGTTTGAAAATGCCCAAGGAAGAAAATGAAACCCCTAAGCACAACCACCCGTCTGTTCCAGACCTCAAGCGTATCTTCATCGACAACGACTGCATGAGAGATCCGATCATCGATGGCTTCTTTTTGGACACATGGCAAGCCGTTGCCGAGCAGAACACTAAAATTTACCGATCTGTGTTCCGCTGCATGCCTGACAGCGAGGTGAAGAACTGGAAGGAATACAAGGAATATGCCACATATGGTGAGCGTTTTGCAGAGATGCAGAGCCACCAGAGCAACAAGCCAGGCCAACCTCAACAAAAACAAAGTGGCCCTCCCCCAGCTGGTGCTTCGGTCAGCTCTCCTATGTCGATCGCTTCTCAGATGTCTTTCATCACCCCAAAGGCCGAAGGACCGCAGGCAGATCCGAAGAGCCCGCAGACAATTGACGAGAAGGTCGGATCTGGAAACGAAGCTGGTCGTCCTCAGTCTGAGCAGCTAGCGAAGCAGCAGACGTTACCTTTCACCGATGAAAAGGCCGCACACAAGACGGAATCGGACCCGGGCCTGTTGGCTAATGTTCCGAACGGGGGAACCAGCGACGAGAAGGGTGTCGTCGCCGGTGAGGATGTCGAGAAGTCACGAATAACCCCGGCTCATGTCGATTACTCTGAAGCCGTAAACCTGAACTCGACGAGTCAGTCTCGGAGACGTAGACGCAGAGCTACAACGATTGGCTCGAAGCGCGATCCCCATGGCACAGATGAGTATTTGGATAAGGGCCACGCTGAGGACCTTCTTAACAATACTCAAGGCCATCTCATCATGTGGCCTTATGACTGGTATGTCACAACTTCGCTCCCATTGGGCCTGAGGACACATCCACTGACGAATTATCTTAATAGGCTCGAGAAAGAGGAGCAAGGTGGAAACTGGCTGTATGCATTGGATCAGATTTCTCCCTTGGAGCTCTAGTAAGTTGTCCCTCTTTAGTGGTTCTTAGACAGGATACTGACGGATGTATAGCAACTAATTCCAAATTGCGTTGCACTTGACGGCGTCTTGCTCTTGATTTGATAGTTTGCTCGTGTTTGTCCATGTTTGTCTACTTGGGGTCAGCGTTGGAATCCTCGAGCGCTGCTATCGCGATTGATGCATTTTCATTTTCTCGGATCTTTTAAATGCCTTCTAGGCCGGTCATCCTTTGGGGCTCTTTATATTCCCCGCAAGTAGCGCAACACAAGTAATCAACCTTTCCGAGTACGGTGATGGTATTTGTCCCCTCCTGAGGTCCTTTTGTGTGTGATGTGTAATGGATGGTTTACCCCAACGTAGGATATGATGAAATGGCTTGTACTCTGGTAACTGCAAAAGTAGCAGATAAAACGGTGAATCATTGATTTTGTATCTATGAAGAGGTGGGCTCGTCCGCAACATAGTGCAGGTAAGCTCCCAGCAGCTTGGTTCCCTCGATGTAGTTTTTCTTGTCAAGCTTCTCGTTGACAGAATGGGCAGCATCAGTCGAGCTTCCCATGGGGAGGAGCAAGACGTTCTTGCCGGTGGCTTGCTCGAAGGTCAATGTGACAGGAATACTGTCAGTAATTAGCTGTGGACCGATTTTGGTTTGGAAAAAGAGAGTCCTACCTTCCACCCTCGCGAGTCATATCAGGCTCGACTCCAAAGACCTGCTGAACAGCCTTGCTGGCAGCAGAAAAGTTCCAGTGCTTGGGGCTGGCGACCCACCACTTGCCGTCGTGCTGCAGCCAAACATCCAAAGTATTCTTGCTGTTTAGCTTGGCGAACTCGGCCTTGATATGGTCGAAGACCAGCTTGTTCACATCTTCGCTTTCCATGTTGGGCACGGTACGGATAGAAAATTTACCAATGACCTTGGCGGGAATGACTGTCTTAGCACCGGGGGCCGAGTAAGCACCCTCGACACCGTGGATGGACAGAGAGGGGTAACGCCATCTAGCCATCAGAGTACGCTCCTTGGTGGAATGGATACTGGTCTCGGCACCCAACGACTCGTGGAGGTTGTCCATAGTGTAGCTGATGTTTCCGTAGAGAGTCTGCTCCTCCTCAGTCAGGGGAGCCACCAGATCCATGAGACCCGGAATCAGAATGTTACCCTGTGGGTCAACCAGCTTGGACAGGACGTTGACCAGATCAGTCATAGGCTCGTGGGCGGAACCACCAAAGACACCACTATGCAGATCTTGAGCGGGGCCCGAAATGCTGATGGAGTAGTAGTTGCAGCCACGCAGGCCATAGGTGAGGCAGGGCTTCTCAGTGCCGAGCCAGTAGTTATCCGAGATACAAACGGCGTCAGTATCCTTGAAGTACTTCTTGCTCTCAGCCTGGATGAAGTCATCCAGACCCTCAGATCCATACTCTTCCATTCCCTCAAAGCAGCACAACAAGTTGACGGGGAACTCAATACCAGCCTTGCGGTGGGCATCGATGACATTAAGCCAGCCCAAAACGGGGCCCTTGTCATCGGTAGAGCCACGGCCGTACATCCGATCCTTTTCATCTATGGTCAACTCAAAGGGCTCGGTGGCCCAGCCGTCTTCCTTCAAAGCAGGCTGCACGTCGTAGTGTCCGTAGACCAGAATAGTGCGCTTGTTCTTATCGTTGCCGTATCTCGCAACCACCACGGGTGGCAGCTCGAGGTGCTCTTTGCCAGGCTGCTTGCCCAATGGTCGTTGCTCAACCTCAGCTCCAAGGGCTGTGAGCTCATCGGCAAGGAATTGTCCCATCTAGAAACATTAGATCTGGATTTGTGCGTCTGCTGGAAGACTCACGCGGAACACATCCGGTCGGTTCTCATCTTGTGCTGAGACAGATGGGATCGCAACCGCCTTCCGTAGACCTTTGACCAGAATCAGCAAGGACCTTGCGAGAAACCGAGAACCCGAGAAACCACGAGACCAGTATTACATACGCTCAATGAAATCGTTAGACGAGTCGTCGACCCTGTTTGACTGTCAGTTAAAGCGTTCTACTTGGAGATAGCTATACTTACTGCTTGAAAAAGGGCTCCAGAGAGGGCGCCATTTTGGAATCACTGATATGGCCGTAGAAGAAACGGCGAGATAGAGAACGAACTGGAGAAAATCGAGAAAAAGGAGTAAGTTTGAAAGGAACACGGAGGGGAAAGAGGGGCATTGCCGTGTTTGCCCTGAGGTAACCGGGGAGAGTCCAGAAGTGACTTCTCATCACGTAATACTTTTTTTTGGAAGGGATCACACAAGTGACAAAGGGGGATGTTTTAAAAACTGAGACATTGAGGATTTTTTTCAATTGATATCTATAATATCTATGATATTTGTAATCTATTTTATACATCTCTATCTTGGTGCTAATATCTATAATTACCTATTATACTTATGTAGCCCTTGGCATCCTTGGAAACAAGAACATAATAATTTGGTATGGAATAGATCTTCATAAACAATGCTAGAAATAAACTAGAATACATGGATTTTCTTTAAAAGGCAGACCCTTTCCTGTGCGTTGGATCATGCCACTATGCATCTCGTCCCCAGGCCTCACGCCGCAGTTGACGGTCTTCTCTGGCCATCCGGCGCTTAGGTCCCCATCGCGATTGCACCGCCTCCAAGATCCGGGCCTGAATCTCCCTCTTCTCTGGGCTTGCCTGGCAGACCATGGCAATAAATACGGGCGAGCATTCAAACCGTTTAGCGAGCTTGTTTCGGCTCCAGGTCATGGGATCATTCTTGCGGAGATTGCGGATTTCTTCAATGTCTGAAGGGGTGAGGTGATATTTCCGTTCGGGCATAGACTTGTAGACACCGGGAAGATCGTCGGCGTTGGGGGTCGCAGTGGAAGAAAAGATGGACGATTTCCGAACATCATCAGCAGGCAAGAATTTGGATGGGGTGTGGTAGGCATTGGGAGCACTGGATGGCGGGTTATGGATAATGTGATCGTGACCCAGGCTAGACGGGTCAAATGAGGAGTCTGGCTTCACACGTAGTCGCTGCTTGGTTCGTCGGTATGAAGATTGGTTTCGTCGAAATCCTAGTGCCAACGAATCCGACAAGGATGGAATAAGGAATGGCAATGTGAGGAATGGCCGCTTCGTCGCGGCAATGAAGGTCGCCATTGCGTCTAGTCAGTTGGGATAGGGAATTGATCAGAGACTATAGATGATTAGAAATGAAAGAGTTAGTAAGTCTTTCTAGGTATGATTGATTATGGTCAACTGACTTAAAGGTAAGATTGAACTTGGGGTTGACAGACTGGACGTGTTGGCATCTCTCGCGCTTCGAACCCGAACTTTTTCCCCTGGTCTCGTGACCCCCTTGGCCAGTATGTATTGATAATACCATTTACCATACCGTATTTTTAAAAATACTAACTAGTTGCACTAGTCAACTACTACGTTACAACATATGTACGGAGTACGGGGAGTATGTATCCAGTACTTCGGAGGCCCATCTCATCACCGCTCAATTAGAGGTACCGGATACAAGCTTCTATCCCAAGTAGGTAATAACAAATCTTGTTTGGGCCTGTCACCTGGTCTCCTACCCGTGGACCGTTATGTCTCACCGATGTCATCACTAAGACTTCTATCAACTCCCATTAACACTACTTTATTGATCATGGCTGTCAAATTTTGACAGTCTTTCTCATCGCAATGTCTGACTCTACAGTTCAGGCAGATCAGAAGCCAAATACAGGACCAAGCACACGAGCCCCGAAGCCCGCTGCCTTCATATGGGACAAGAATCAAAACGCCCCAGGTTATACATCACCTGTGAGATCATCCGAACCCCTTCGAACATCAAACCATGATTCAACTAAGTACATGATACACCCCTCGTCGCCCGAAAGCTCATCGTATCTGCCGCCCCGTATATATTCCCCTGCCTCTCAGATATTCGAACGAGATGTGCAGGAAGATATAGTGCAAGCACAGGCGTCGCCTTCGATACCGGCGCACATTCGAACCGACAACTATATTCCACCTGTCCTAGAAGCATCCTCAGCCGCGATCACAGATGATCGCCTCGATCCAGATTTGGTCGAGATTGTCACACACGGCCTACATCAGTCAGCGGGTGGTCCATCGGGGGAGCAATTGATGTCACCCTCGGGCATCGACCATCTCTTGGGACAGTCCGACGGAGATGAACCCTCGTCTAGCTACGGAGCACTAGACACGACAGATGTACGTCGGCTGAGCTTCATTTCCTTTGCCGACGTTGTCAACGCCGAGCATGCAGAAGCAAATGAAGCTCATGCTGGCGTAAAACCTCGGGACCGCTTTGGAGATTCCAAACAATACCCGTCTGCACTGCGCTCTCCGTCTTCTTCGCATGGACTCGGCACTTCGCCGCCAACAAGCATTGCGACCTCCTTCAGAGGGCTTGATATGTCTCCCACTTGGTTCCCCATTACTAGTGCTGCCCAAAGCCCGGTCTCTTCCAGTTTTGGGGGAGACCTCAATGTAGAGACCATGCGCCAGGCTTTGAGAAAAACCGCCAGCGGAGACCTGGGCATCACAAGCCGGGCGGTGAGTACTACAAGCGATGACCTGCTAGATCGTACATTTTAACACGTCAAACTGCTTTTATTTGGCGTTGGACAGTGAAGGACTCGGATCAGGATCTCATTTTCTTCATGGTGCAATGTGATAAGCTACGGTAGTCTGCTTTCTATCGTGATTTATACTGCAATTTACGAATTTGGGTATCCCAGAAGAATCCAAGTGCTTGTGCAATGCACGGGCCAAATTTGATCGAATTTGGGTAGACTATGCACTTGCCTGCCGAACACTTTGCACAGCGTCCAAAGCCCGTTGTACCCTGGAGCGCAGATCTGGTACCTCTTCTAACCCAACACTGATTCTAACTAGATCCGGATCGACATTGAAGGATCTCGCCTGGTGGATGTTAGTTATGGCCTAGTCAACATACTAGGGATGTACATACCCAGTCTAATTCACCGTAATGAGCCAGGAGAACGTACGGGGAGCTGAAAATTTAGTAAAATCCAAGGCAGAGAGGGCGACTATCTCACCTCAATGTAAAGTTGGTCCCAAGACTAGGTCCCTTCAAAACCTCGATGTTATCGAAAAAGGCAATCGCCTCGGGTTGGGAGTGGAACGTGACAGAGAAGAGACCCCCATAACCACCATTGGCGTTGCGGAAGCTATCATAAAGTGGTTTCGTGGGGCTAAATTTCGGGTAGTAAACTTCTTTCACTTTGAAATTGTCAGTATAGCACTCACTCAAAGTAAATTAATACGTGCCTAGGGGTGACTCCTTTAGCATAGCTGTAATGCTCTCAGATGTTGCATTGATCTGTTTAATGCGAGCAATAAAGTCGCGGCTGTTTCGCTCCAAGAAAACGGCATCCTCTGCCCAGCAAATATCTTCGTATTCCCGGTTAAAAGTCTCCTTGATGGCTGCATAGTACTGTGCGTGAGGGTTGAGCACAGCACTTCCTCCCATGACGTTGCTATCTCCGCTGAAAATCTTGGTCAAGCTGCTGACAACTATGTCTGAAAGGTGCAAAACGTTGATGTTCAAAAAGTTGCTGATGGTCTCGTCGACCACCACGGCAAACCCATACTGGTCTGCCAAAGCGCGGATTCGTTTGAGGTCCGGTGTTTGAAGAAGAGGATTACCTGGTGCCTCGGTGAACAGTCCAAGGAAACGCTCACCAGCCTTCAGTCGAGATTCCAGATCTTCCAGATCTTCCGAGGAGCCGTGACCATAGAATACGCAGCCTGGCCCCCATTTTTGAAGAATCTTCAATGTATCCGTGTATGGGAACCCAAAACAAATTGACGGTAAATCGCCTCTAGTAGCCAGCAAGGTCTGATGAGCGTTGAAGATGGCATTCATGCCCGAAGGGTAAAGAAGGACATCCTCCTCGGAAATACCGGCAACTCTACCTTCTGATGAAGCTGACTTCAGGGCTTCTGGCAGTTCAACATCGACTTTCAAAACACCCGCAATACGTTTGCGAACAGCCAGCTTGGCTTGGTTGGCAAGAGAAGTGCTGAGGTTTCGACCAAATCGCTCCTCGATAAATTGAGCATAGTCTCGGCCATCTTCGATGTTTGATTTTGGGGAAGATTCTCCAACAGAGCCCTTTCTCGCTCCACTGACGCTTTGGTACCTGCGAGGTCCCTTGCAAGGACGCTGGGGGATTGATTCCGCAGTCGCCAAGCCTTTGTCTTCCACCAAAAACCCGTCCTCTAATGACCTAAGGCAAAACTCACCTCGTCGACTGGATATACCATTGCCCGCGTGTTGCCATACTTGCTTGGTAATGGAAGCGTATTCTTTTGGGTAAATGACACACGACAAGGAAGACGTCACTGTCGACCCGGCTTCGGTATGTGGGGATGGGATGAAGTTGACAATCCGTGTTTTGTATGCCTGCTCTGGGGAGATTTTGCTAAGCAGAAAGGAGTGACAGATGTGCGCTGACTTGACTGATGCGAATAGGGTTGCAAACTCGAGGTTGGGGTTACCGACGCGGCGAACAATCTCCTGGGCGAGGTTTTGGATAATAGGGTGGACGAAGAATCGGGGATAACCGCATTGCATCTTCTTTATGACCCAATCTTCTCCTTCTTCGTAGCCGACATTTTCTCTCCATGATGGAAGCGATACACTGACGGCCTTGTAAATGTTAGAAGAGTCATGGAGGGGTTGCGGGGAGTTAACTATACATGGTCAGTATTTGGAGGCACAGGTCCTCCCAAAGCCTGCAACATTTTCAATTTAAAATAGAGATCAGGAGAAAAGATGATTTGATCTGGATATTTGCTTTCGAATGAAAGAGAAAAAAGAAAAAAAAGACCCAGGGTTGTAAATGATGCCATTCCTCTCCACTTGCGACTTCGGCGATGCTCCGGGTACCTGATAAGATACCAATGAGTCAGCCGTACGGTACCACAGATACAATACCGTTATCGCCCAAAAAAAAATCTCGGCCTCTACTGACATCTGCTACGCTCACGAAATGTCAGACCACACATCTAAGCGCAGGAAGCTCAGTCCTTCCCCGGGAAATGCTGTTACTAGCTCTGCAACGAAACAGACATCGAAAGTGACGGATAAGCGAAACCCGACTCGAGGCAAGGATGAGCGCTCTGCAGAGCTTGCAATGGCCAGCGGCTTTTACAAGTCCAGTTTCTTCAAGCTGCAAGTGGACGAGCTATTGGCGGGTTTGAGACCTAACTACAGCAAGCAAGTGTCGAAGGTTCAGGAAACACTACACCAAATCAAAACCGCAATTGAAGGCCTGCCCGAAAAGTCTCCGCAATCTGTCCCCGATGCCGAGAAGGAGCTACGTGCCTCTGGTCTGGTGATCCCATGGCCTGAGCCTCGACCGAGCAAGGACGTCAAATACAGCATGGCATACGTAAAGCCGGCGAACATCAACGTGGTAGGTAGCTTTGCGCTAAAGACGGGTGCTCGCACTCTGGAGTCGCGCCCAATTGATCTGGCAGTCACCATGCCAAGTACACTCTTCCAGGAGAAGGACTACATCAACTTCAGATACTTCCACAAGCGCGCCTACTACATCGCGTGCGTAGCCGCTGGGATTCAAGATACCGCGAACACCCTCGGGTTTGATATTAAATTTGGCCCTCAGGATGGAGATAGTCTCCGCCCTCTCATTCTGTTGGAACCGCGTCAAGCCGAATCGTCCGGACCTACAATCCGAATTCTGACCGCAATCGAACCTACCTTGTTCCCGATCACAAGAACGCTTCCACTCAAAAGCAATATCCGCCAGGCCTCCAATAACTTGGAGATCGGCGAACCGACCTCGTATTACAATTCCAGCCTCCGCTCCGATGCCACTGTCTCTCTATATCACAAATTTATCTACTCGGCCTCCAAGAAGTGCGATTCTTTCAGCGATGCATGCATTCTTGGCCGCACTTGGCTACAACAAAGAGGTTTCCACACCCCCTTCCAGAATGGGGGCTTTGGTGGTTTTGAATGGACTGTACTTCTGTCTTTGCTATTTGAAGGTGGTGGTCCGGCTGGACAACCCATCCTGCTACCATCATACAGCTGCTACCAAATTTTCAAGGCCACCATTCAATTTCTAGCCGGCAGGGATTTGACCACTCCTCTTTTCTTTGGTCAAGATGTCGCAGTTCCTTCCGGGGTACCAGTTGTCTTTGATGGCCGCAGGGGTTTGAACATCCTTTACAAAATGACGCCTTGGTCATACACCACACTGCGTCATGAAGCCGCCATCACCCTAAAAATGCTCAATGAGTCACGAGAGGACAACTTCGATAAGGTCTTCATTCTCAAGGTTGACAAACCAGCGCTTAGATTTGACCGCTTGATCTCCTTCCCCAGGTCATTCAATGGAGACACGCTCCGCGCTCTACACGAACAGAATGCATTGTACAATGTTATTTCCCGGGCTCTAGGAGACAGGGTCAAACTTGTGTCTATTGTGAGCCACGCCATTGATTCGTGGTCAGTCAAATCCAAGCGGCCCAAACGGACAAGCCAGGGTGTGTCTGTAGGACTCCTTTTGAATGCTGAAAACGTCGGACGAATTGTCGACCACGGACCAGCTGCAGAAGAAAAAGAAGAGTCTGCTTCGTTCCAAGCTTTCTGGGGTGAAAAGTCGGAGCTTCGACGATTCAAGGATGGCAGCATCCTTGAAAGTCTGGTTTGGTCTGACGAGTCGGAGACATCCATCATTTATCAGATTTTGGAGTACATACTCCAACGGCATTTCAAGATTACCACCGATGAATTTGGATTTGTTGGTGACGAATATGACAAGCTCCTCAAAGAGCATGGCGATGGCATACTGGCATACTCCAGCCCTGTTTTCCAGTCAATCGATGAAGCCTTCAAGGACCTTGAGAGGTCTGTTCGCGGCATGGATGAAGTGCCACTTGAGGTTCGTCACTTGGCCCCAGCCAGTTCGCTTCTTCGTTACACCTCCCTCAGACCAACGGGGGCCACCGACGTTGTTCTTCAGTTTGAAAGCTCCTCGCGTTGGCCTGATGATTTCGCTGCCATCCAAATGACCAAGGTTGCATTCCTTTTGAAGATTGGAGACTCTCTGGAATCGTCGGGTGCTGCCTCGTCTTGCCGTGTAGGCCTCGAAAACGAATCGAGCAAGGTTATCAACAATGCGTATCTCGAAATTTCCCATTCCTCTGGTGTATTGTTCCGGTTGAGGATTCACCACGAGCGTGAACAAATCCTACTCGAGCGCAATCTTAAGAACCGAAACTTGAGTCCCCGGGAGCGAGAAGAGGCCGCATATGCTCTCTTTGCCTACAAGAAGACCTTTGTCCAAACTCCGCGTTTGACACAGGCACTCCGAAGTCTGTGCACACGCTTCCCCTTGTTGTCGCCCACCATTCGTCTGACCAAACAATGGTTTAATTCCCACCTTTTCACTGCCCAAATCAGCGACGAGTTGATTGAATTGCTGGTGATTCGCACCTTCACCCAACCTAATCCCTGGGAATGTCCTTCGTCTGTCATGACCGGATTCCTGAGGACTCTTCACTCCCTCTCTCGGTGGGACTGGCAGCAGGAGCCGTTTCTTGTTGACCTGGGAGGTGATCTGACCCCACAGGTAACGGAAAATATCCGCACTCGCTTCACGGCCTGGCGTAGCATCGACCCCGCAATGAACAGTTTGGCCCTTTTCGTCGCCTCTGATCTCGATAATGAAGGCGTGACCTGGACCCAATACGAGATGCCCTCCAAGGTTGTGGCTGCTCGGATGTCCAGCCTAGCCAAAGCAGCAGTAAGCTTGCTGCACAGCAAGACCCATGATATGGATGTTTCCGAGTTGTTTGACACCTCGCTTGCTCCTTACGATTTTGTCATTCATCTACGGTCTAAGCTGTTTGGCGGTTCCTCGACACCCAAGTTCAAGAACTTGGCTGAGCCCCGTGCTGGAATGATGCAGACCATCAATTCCTTTGTCTGTGACGTACAAGCCTGCTTCGGACAGAGCATTTTGCTCTTCCACGGAGACGATCGTTGTGCAGTGATTGCCGGCCTTTGGAACCCGCAGGCCCAGAAGTCGCGAACCTGGAACCTGAAGACGGCACACTCGACTGCCCCAGGTGATACCGAGGGTGAGGTTGTAATCAATCAGACTGCTATTCTGAACGAGATTGCACGGTTGGGCAACGGACTCATCGAGAACATTCAGATCCGTGCAAGGGAATAGATCTTGTCTTTGATTCACACTGGTGTACATAGATTGCACTCCAAAATATTCTGAAGCATAGTATATATAGAGCAGTTTCTAAACGAATTTCGTTTTTCTTTAATTCACGTGGAACATTGTGAGATTCAATGACCAAATTATTAATCCTCGATAGCTATCAATAACCATGGTAGATGATGCTCTGATACCTCCAATCTTCTTGGGTTTGAACACTGACTCGCATCTTGATATTGATGCCTAAGGTGTCGACCATTGGTAACATGCGCAAGCTTTGGTTTCATCTTTCTCTCACCTCAACCATGGCCAACATAACTCGGAGCCAGCGAGCACTCCATGCTCAATTCCAAATTTGGAACTGTTCTCGTTTACACCCCCACCTCCAATCCCAATTACTACCCATCTGCGCGCGGTCCCAGCTCTTCTCAACCTCCGCCCCGAGCCAGCAATCCCGCCGACCCTCTCCATCACCCCCTACAACAACCACCGTCTCAGTCCCCTCCAAAACCGAAATAAATGCCCCAACCAGCACACACCCCACTCCTCTCACAACCCCATCTTCTCTGCCTCCCTCTGCAGGTGCAGCAGATAAACTAAAGCGCTATGTGGAATTCGGCCGCGCATACGTGACCTTCTACAAAACAGGCCTCAAAAACGTCTACCACAACTATCGCGCCTCACTTCCTCTACGGAGAAAGCTAGGCCTGCCCGCTTATATCCCTACATCCCCACCGCGGACACGCACACACAACAACAACCGCAGCGCGCCATCAATAGCGCAAGAAGACAAGCTTGGCCGCGCGCAGTTCCAGCTCGTCCGCCGCTCAGCCCGCGATGTCCGCCGCATGATCCCCTTCGCGCTGATCCTGATCGTCTGCGGCGAGTTCACACCCCTGGTCGTCCCGATTTTCGGCTCTGCCATTACACCCGCGACGTGTCGTGTGCCATCGCAGGTGGAGAAGGAGCGCATTGCTGCTACGGTGCGCAAACTTGTGGCGCTGGATGTGTTTGTTGCTGCGAATAAGGATTGGTCTGTGCATGTGCTCAAGGCGGGTAGTGCTGAACAGTTGGCTCTTCTTGCTGGGTGTTTTGCTGATCCTGTCTGGGTTGCTGGTGCGCGCTCCGCTGATGTGTTGCGTGCCTGTGCTGTTTTCGGCCTGGTTAAGCGGCATGATAAGACTGCGGGCGAGTCGCTTGCTGGTTTGGTCTATCGGCCTCGGCTGGCGCGGTATGCCGACTACCTGGCTATTGATGATGGGATGATTCGTGTCGGTGGAGGGGTTAGGGCTATGAATGCTACTGAGGTGCAGATTGCTGTTGAGGAACGTGGTGGTGTAGACGTCTCTTCTGGTACCCAAGACCGGAAACAGGTAGAGGAGTTGGAGAGGCGCTGGTTAGAGCAGTGGCTGGCAGTCCGTGGGAACAGCCCCAAATCCAAGATGTAGCTTTTGTTTTTCTGAAGCTAGACTTGAGGCCCCTGCTTGTACAGTAGACGTTTCTTTAGGATCCTTTGTATTATGTTCAACATTTTGACTCATCAAAGAGCTTGTTTTTGTTGAGCCTGGGCTATCATTGCTAACTGGCTGTAGAGCTTACAGCCTTAGCAGGCAACGGAGATTTATTTTCTGCATTCAATTTCAAAGACTTATGAAGACAAGCGCGAAAGAAAGAGCACCCAAAAATCTAAGCGCTCAGAAGCAGCATGTGTCAATTTCAACAGTCAAACGGAGGGGTATCAATAAACTAGCCCTCCAAGCGGAGAAGGAAATCAAAATTTTATGGTGAAAAGAAATAGTTGGCATAATCACCATCAGTCTACTGTTATAGACGAAGAAGCCGCAGCCCGCGCCTGCGCCTGGCCACGGATTTGCTTTGCCCATCGCAGACCACAGCTATTACAAAGATCCCGGTTCCCACTCGGACCACGCCGCCACTCGGGGGTGTTCTTGGTGTTGCACATAGCGCAAAACTTCTCGACCGCCATGGAACCTTGCTTGCGCTTGCGCTTCCTGCGGCGAGCCAGCAGGCGTTGCAGTTCATCGGCTAGAGCGCGGTTCTGCTTCTCTAGCTCGCGCAGCTCGATCTGCCAGCTCGATCCGCGGGTGGGATTGAGCTCCGTGAAGAAGGTTGCTGGGTCGGCAGAAGGTGAAATGCCGTGGTTGCCACTGGGCAGACCGTTTAGGCCGACGAGTTTCGATAGATCGGGCACGCGTTGACCAAGGACACCATACTGCTGGGGCGGGACGGGGTCGCCGACAGTGAGCGTTGTGTTTCGTGAAGTGCCGGTAAGGGTAGCGAGACCTTTGTCTTCGGCGGCTAAGGTGGCGGTGGCGGATGGAGGGAAGGGTCGAGCAAATCTGATCTGGGCGACGAGGAAGGTCGGTTTGATTCCCTCCCGTGCGTCGCCGGCATACAATGTGGTATGTGCTGAAATAGCATGGCCTTTCTTATGCCACATTTGGTGTTTGAATGAGGGCAGTTCATTTGTCTCTTCGCCCCTGCCTGTAACGGTGGTCATGCCAGCTCCTTGTCCACCACAGGCTGCCTCCAGGGCCTGCGTGATGGTGGCAGTGCCACCAATCTCGGGCTCCATAAGTTCCTGTAGGCCTTGACCAATTAGTTCGTCAGGCGAGCGGCCGAGCATCGGCTTCACCTTTGTCGTCACGAACAGTATGACACCAGACAAAGAAATCTTGGCCCAAACATCATTCTCGGCCAGCGCGGCGGATGAGCCCAGGCGGGCAATCTGATCCAAGGCGTAGACAGGTCGTGGGCGGCCGGTCATGACAAGATGCCTCCGGCCCTGATTCGGGTCGATGTGCCACGCGCCATGACTCTCAAACCACATATATCCTCTGTGCTTTTGTCGGATACGATACACAACACTCACCGGGGCAGTTGTCGTGCTCGCCCGCAATTCACGGATTACCGGACCAATATCACTGGGATGGCATATGGCGGATAGAGTCTTGCCAATCAGCTCGACCGGATCGTACTCTAGGATTTTGTGGCAAGAGGGCGACAGATATAAGAAGTCACCGTTGAATGAAAGCACATGGATCACATCGTCGGTATTCTCAACCAGAATGCGATCCAGGTAGTGACGGTTGACATCATTTCCAGTTGCCCTAATGGCGTTGAGAATGGTAGTCACTTCGTCATGGCCATATCGTACCCCGAGGTCTGGTCGTGTGGAGTGAATATCTGTTGGTGGAACCATATACTGTGGCAGCTGATCGCGCTGATAGTTAATGCTATAATTGCCATCTACACAATATTAGCGAGGGCCCTCGCCACGAAGAATGCAACAAAGCATACCGGGATTTCTTCCCCTCACGGCGTCTGGTTTTTCAACCAGGTCAATCTGGAATCCTACGTAGTACCGGTATACATCTGAGTCCCACTGGATGGGGATCATCGTGATGAGGTTCATGAAGGGTTGTCCACCCTTGCGGTAGTTGATTATACTAGCCTGGATCTCACTGCGATGGTCGATGGTTGACCGTAGCCGATATACAGTTTGTCCATCAACGAATGACCGCTTAGCGCCAGCCTTGATCTTACCGTCAGGCGTTTGAAGAAATCGACAATTCCGGCCAACGATTTCATCTCTAGTATAGCCGGTCAATCGTTCAAAGGCCTCTGATACATAGACGATTGGATGATCCTCAATCAAGATGTCACACATCACAAAGGCGCATGAAAGATCGACGGCGCCAATGTTGATTTTGGGCTTGGGCCGCATAGCCACACGGCTCTGAACAAGATTAGCATATCGTCAGATCCTCTTCGTGGAAACAAAAGAAATACCAACGCTCCCAGCACGTCAAAGCCAGTTGTTGAATAGATGCCGGTATGTTCAGTCTTGCCAATCTCGGGCTTTTCCAGTCCCGACAAGAACTCCTCTGATTGCGCGTCCCCGAGTTAGTCATACCATGGGCCAGAGTCCAGCGGGGAGTATCCGACAGAGACATATCTCACCTTTGGCAGCAACGGGCTTCTTGGGCTGGATAGCCACCGGTTGGGATGCACGGTATGGCTGGCCAGGAGGTAGGCGGCGCTCTGGAGGTTGTCGCTGAGCCCGCTGCACCTGCACCTGCGTTTGCGCCTGTGACCAGTCGCTCGTGCGACCTGAAAAGTCGGAATCCTCGAAATTGACTGTAGAGTCGGTGGTTGTATCATATGGTTCATTACGGGCTGGATGAGCCGGCTGCTGAGAATAATGGAGTATCGTCATGGAGGGCGGGAAGGACGGGTATGTAGGCTGAAACTGTGAATGGTCCATCTGTAAAGGCATTCCCATGGTGGTGGCCGGGTAGGTGGATGGAATATCATAGGTATAGGCGTTGGGGGCGTTCATGTTCATGGGTATTGAGATAGTTGAGGTCGGAATCCCATCGTATGTGAGCATGACATTAGACCTCAGCCCTTGGAGGTCCGAAGGTTGTGATCGTGCAAAGTTCTGGAGGGGTGGATCCGTATTCTGGGGTAGTATAGCACTGAATGCATAGTTTACATTGGGGAAGGTCGGGTATGAAGAGTTGGAGGGTTGCGATGAGCCACGATGTTCATCATCATACTCCAAGTTGAAGCTATTCATGTTGGTCGTGATTAAAATATAAGTGGCCCAGACCGAGTTCCATCACCCCGCTGACAACCTAGGAAGTGAAAGTGTCCGGGAAAAGGTTACCTTGATGTTGATGTTTACAAAAGTAAATATGATCGATAGGTGTAGAAGAGAGGGGGGGGGAGGAGAGGAAGAGAGGAAGAGGGAGAGAGGAAGGACTTGATGTCCAAGTACAAATGTGGGGAAGCACTCGCCAATAGATCTCTTACACAGGGATTTGACATTCTCTTCATGATAGGTAAATTCTTTTTTAGTGAGATACCTTTGTTAATTTTGTTTCTCCCTTTTTTTTCTTTATATATGTTCTATATATAAAACTCATTTCAGATAGAAATTGTGTTCAGTGCTATTCCACTTGACCACTCCTAGAGGCAAATCCCCATGAGATGTATCACAATGACAACGATAGACCGATTTACCAATCATAGTATTATTAGGTATATATGGAGTACAGAGTACATAGAGAGGAGAACAGAGTAACAAGGGCTATATTTAAGCTATCCTTATACATCCTGATGACCCCTTGTTTAATAAACCCCTGTCAACCCTGTCCCCATCCCCCCTCTTCACTCTCTCCATTGTCTATTGGCCATGGACAAGATCTCAATGACCATCTGCGGAGATGGTGGATATGGTATGTTGTTTCTCTTGTCTCCTGGGAATATCCTGACTCCGTGATTCGGTGCCACGTCTCCGGGTTTCGCGCGATCGAGATCTGACCAGATCGGGATGTAGGCAAATCCCCCATCACCATGTGGCTGGTCCGCAGTCAATGAGACCATGAGTGAGCACCTCTGAATTGACCTTGGGAAACTACGCTAAATCTCTCATTCCGGGAAAGACATGATCCGACTATCACTGTTGCGCGCCCATTCCGATGCCAGTTCAATTCTAATCGGGCCCAGATGATTCCTACTCCGTCACCTGCAACGTCGATGGCCACCCCTACGTCCTATCCATCACCGACACCGCAGGCCAAGAGGAATATCGTGGGCTATTGTCTGCCTCGACACTAAACTCGGACGCCTCCCTCCTAGTTTACGATATCACCAACCCCTCGAGTCTTGAAACGCTGCATCAGTGGAGGCGGAACAACGCGTCGAGGACAAGCAGCGACTGCGCCAAGAGTTTAAAAAGAAATCCGGAGTTATAGGAGATGTAGGGCAAAGTGGCCTGCCACCGCCAGTGAAAATCGTGGTGGGCAACAAATGCGATCTCAAGGATAATCGCGCAGTGACCTCCCGCGATGGACTCTTGTATGCGCACAAGCACGGCTGTGGGTTTATGGAGACCAGCGCTTGCGAGACGGTCAACATAGAGGAGACCTTTGCCCGTATGACATGTCAGCAAGGAAGAGAGAGTCGAGCTAATGGCTGGATAGATCTAGTCCGTCGCGTTGTCGAAGCCCGTCGACTTCAATGGCCAACACGGTACTTTCTCCCCAATGTGCCGAGCTATGGCACAACACCCTACCAACCATCACTGTAGACGCTGTTGCAAGTGAGACCCGATCCCGTCGCAGTCGGGCGTGGGAGTATATCAAACGCCGGAAGAGTACGGAACCAAACGGCAAACAGGGTCAGGAACAGAGTGAAATCCAGAGAACTGAAAAGCATCAGGTACCTTGTCAAATGTGCCACTGGGGTTGCTGTGTCTGTCAGCTCGGGTGCTTTCACCGCTCTTGTTGATGGAGAATGAGGTAGGTTTTTTTTTAAAAAAAAATGGTAGATGATACCATACCACTGTCATCAGCAAATTAAAAAAAATTTCTGAGACAGTAATGTTTGTGTAGAGGTTGATTTGGGGGAACATGTAGAGAAACACGAAGCTACCTACAGCCCACCTTCGGGGTGAGTAGGGTGAGTAGGGTGAAGAGCGTGAATGGACTCGGAATACGTTTCCGTTCAAACGGGTACGGGACACGTTCGATGAAGAGAGTTCCCACGGGTTGAGATTTGGTATTTGAGTTGAATTGGGATTTTGATAGGATCTAGCCCAGGTCGTCACATATTTCCCAATGCAGTAAATATTAAGCTAAGCTTTTAGGTGAACGGAATGTCAGCCGAGGGAAGGTGAAAGGGGTGAAATGAAGGAAAGAAAAGAAACAGGAAAGATCAAAGGGAGAGAAACAGGATAAATTCTAGAAAAGTGGTCTGGCCCATGAATTGTAAAGCTATACGGAGTACGGAGTACCAAGATGTCAAGCTTAAAAGGGACAGAGTTCCTTCTTGGGCAGCCGGAATGGTTACGTCATGGACTTTGTTCTCTTGTAGAACAGGACTCGGGTCATGACGATTTGAAATGACCTCGGGATGATTTTACTGTGTTGACCGTTGTACTCCATACAAAGTATCATTTTAATATGAATTATGGTATATTGTAAATCTTGGAATACTTAGACTGTCATAGTTACCTCGGAATACATCTATCTACATAATATAATGAAATCTCGGGTGCAACATGCAATTCGGCATGACCTTGCCGATTTTTCTTTTCTTTATTTTCTCTTTTTTTTTACCTTTCTTTTCTTTTCTTTTCTTTTCTTTTCCTTTCTTTTTTTTTACCCTCAATAGTTTGGTTATGCCCAAATTGCGAAGAAGATGAATTTAAATTTTATCCTTTGTTCTACAGACTTGACTATTTTTATCATCCTATTCTAAAGCAAAATTCTTCAGTAGACATGTTTCTTTGAATGTTCTCCATAGAGTACGGAGTAGTCGATTCTTTTTTTTATTCAAAACAAAAATCCAAATGTGTGGCCGGAAATCCAATCCACTCGGATATACGTCAGGTCTAAAGTCTCCGAGCTCCGTCAGCACATGCCGAGTCATACCTGTATTTTTCATTGTATGGAAAAGTATTGTATTTTATGATCTTCGATCCGATCCCTTTATGCTCTCTCTTGAACTTCTAACTCCGTAGGCACATCCATTACTCTAAGAAAATAATAATTATAAAAAAATTTAAAAATTCTTAAACTAGAATAGCCCCCTCTTTTTCCGTGATTCCTATATATGCACATCTACTCCCATAACCTTGGAGGTTACCTTTCCTTGAGTCTCTCTATTACTTCACTCATCCTATTTTCCACTACTACCTATACTTCTCTATTATTTCTTAACCTTCCTCTATCCACGGTCCCAAGGATCTCCTCTCTGCATCCGTCTACTTTATTTGAACTTTCTTTGAATGATCTGTTAACATCATTATATCATTGACCCTCGGTTTGACGTCGATCATACTCGGTGCTGGAAGTATAGCTTAAGGGTCCATATCCCCAACCATATTCATTCTCTATACCACAACTTTCGACTTCATAAACTATGGCAGCTCGCCAATCAACACCAACCTCGGAGCACTCGCATTCCGAAAGCAATGTCCGTAAAAGAGTATGCAAAGCATGCGATAGGTGTCGTTTGAAGAAATCCAAGGTATGCATAACAAAAAAAAAAGACGAGCAATCGTCCCAACATGCACTGACCCCCCGGACAGTGTGACGGATCCAGTCCTTGTTCCCGTTGTCGTGCCGACAATGCCATCTGTGTCTTTGGAGAGCGCAAGAAGGCGCATGACAAAGTCTACCCGAAGGGGTAAGCTAAATAGCTATTTTCAGAAACCCTCAAGAATCCCCCACTGACCAGCTATCCCTCTCTTATTAGATATGTTGAGATGCTCGAACAACAACAATCCTGGCTGGTCAACGGCCTTCAGGAACTCTACCGACGCAACATTGAAGGCGAAGGCTGGCCCGGCGAGCAGCTGAAACTCGAATCCAATGGTCACCCACTTACTCACGACCTGCTCATGCGCCTCGGTGCCCTGGACGGCTCCAAGGGTGAGCGCTTCGAAGAAAACCCCGAAGCCCTACAGCAGGATCTATGGCACACCAATGCCGGCATGCAACGTCAGGAATCTTCCGACGGTGGCTCCGATAGCCCCCAGTCACCAGTGCCTCGCTCGCGCTTCTCATCCGACGCTTTCTCCCAGCAGCATATGCCGCCCACCCCGCCAACATACAGTCCTACGACACGTGCGCCCATCAAGACCGAGTCTCACCCTCAGCCTCAGATGCCTAGTACTCCGCAATTCGCCCAGCCGATGTCGATGCAAGGGGTAGTAAACCCACTGGCTTTGCAGGGTCCGCAACAGTGGCCTAGTAACGGGTTCAACCCTTTCGATGAGATGGATTTGATGTCCACGGCCGATTACTCCAATATGCCCTTTGATGACCAGCAACTATCATCACCCATGTTCAATCGTCAGGTGCCCATGAACTGCTTGTCCCAAGGGTCATATCTTGATTCCAAGAACGATTATGAGGATTTCAACCAGTTCCTCAACCCTAACCCTACGGAGATCACCTCGATCTGAGCTCAAATTTTTTTTAGGGTTACTTTTTTGGACTTTTTTTTAACGCCGTATGACGTGATGCATGTATACTATACATGTTCTTTTTCTTTCTCTTCTTTGGGGCTATTTCCCCCCCCCCCCCCCCCCCCCCAACGGTCTCTTTAACTGGATTCGGGCGCAATTGGAATCCTAATCACCTCTGTACAGTGAACCGGTGT